AGCTGCACCAGGTCGCTGCTGCTGCTGCTGCTGCTGCTGCTGCTGCAGGTCGCTGCTGCTGCACTGAAAGAAGCCCAGTAATAATTCAGAGGGAGAGATTGTCTGCACACGTGGGTGTCAGGTTAACACATGGAAAATCAGCACACAACAATAACAACAACATTGAAGTGTGCACACACATTCCTGTTGTGTGTCTTTTTCGGAACACCTTGACAACACACACACATACACATACTGCATTGTTCACATTCTGTAGAAGAGCTTTAAACAGTCAAATACAATACATTATAACAAGTGATGGTGTAGAGGTACTCTCAGTCTGTAACATGCTGACACAAATACACATGCACACACACACACACAGGTTGTACTGATAGGACATTGTGTTGATGATGCCTTTTTCCCTAAAGTTTAAGTAAGTAATCCAATGTAATCCCAATCTTGATTTCTAAAATCCTAATCCTGACATGTACGTTAGAGATGTAGTTCCTCAGCCAAATGACGTTTGAACCTGAGAAGGTCAATGTTTAACCATCAAATGTCCAAAAGAGACAACAAACCAACACAAACACTCAGTTAAAGTCCCACCTTCACAAACAGCTCAATATCCGGGTCCTTATCGTCCTCAGCTCCAGTATCTGTCATGGTGTGTGTCTCTGTGTGTATGTGCGTGTGTATGTAAGAGAGAGAGAGAGGCCGAGAGAGAGGGAGAGAGAGAGGCCGAGAGAGAGAGAGAGAGAGAGGGAGAAAGTTCTTTCGGTTTCAGATTCTACTTCAGGCCCATTGGTGAATTAGTCCAAGTCTGTCACTGGCTAAGCAGTGAGGACAGTGTGTGTCCATGTGTGAGTGTGTTTGTGTGTGACAGAGAGAGAAAGAGAGAGAGGGAGAGAGAGAGTTTATGTAAAGGGCTCAATTTGGTCCGTGAGTAAGGAGGGACAAAAATAACCCCCCTCTTTGGGGTGGTGAAGGGGTGAGGTGTCACCTCGCAGTAGACACGTCCCTCCAATGTCCTCTTTTGAATAGGACACACCTCATTATGTCACAAATTCTGGAAGACTCTCCCACACAGAGGTCCACAGATAAATGCAACAACTGAGGTCTTCGAACACACCGGCACTGTTCTACTCATACTGCCTCTTGTGGTTGGTTTTTGTAAATCTTTAAATCACAAAAGCCACAAAATAACAAAATTCTAATTCTTTCGCTAACCTGGTGTTTTTAGAGAAAGGGATTGGAAACACATGCACCCTGTGTTGTGAAACTTGTGATTTTTTTAATGGGCTCTTGTCTGTAAGGTCAGTGGTTTACAAACTTTGGTTTCCTGACAGCACATGATATAAAAAGAGAAATTAAGTGTTAGGAAAACAAATGAGTAGTTTAGTTTCTGAACTGGACCTGATGCAGAGTTTGTTTTTAACAAAGAGGACATTTTACACAACAGATCACAGAGTGAGATTCTAACGCCTTTATGAAAACCATGAAGTGCCATCACGTCACACTAATGGAGATCTGACGGTTGAAGTCCCAGGTCAGCATTAGCAGCAGGTGAATCACCAGTTCACTATTTATATTAGCTCATCAAACAGACACCCTTTACGCAACAATAAAAGCAATAAAAGTCATCAAACAACAACAGAAGTGTGTGTGATTGACTTTGAGTTTTATTGAAGATACTAAAACTGACTGAAGTTTCCAAGTGTCCCATTTATGATCATCAAATACCAAATCATATATATTTATCTTAAGCATATCTAATGTTGAGCTGTTGCTACATTTGCATCTACCTACCTACCTATCATCTACCTACCTACCTATCATCTACCTACCTACCTATCATCTACCTATCATCTACCTACCTACCTACCTATCA